AAACACTGTTTCCTGCTGGGTGAGTCCAGAGTTCAGACAAGAGATACTCAAGATAAACTGGAGAGATCTCTTTGTGCCAGAAGGAAGAGAAGGTGGGATTCCATCAAAAGGATGCAGGAATCATTTGAAGGAGCTCCCACTTGGCTAATGATGGAACAGTTTGAGCATCAGAATAAAACTAAATTGATTAAAATACATCAAACAAGCTAAAATCCTAGAGAACGTAATGATTCCCCTCCCAAGAAGAGTAAGCTATGATTTAAATTCTATTAATAACTGTAAATTACCTTACTTTTAAGTATCTTTGATTATATCAGTTGTCTTTAGAGTTATTTGCTTCTGGGAGCTGCTTGTCCATGTGAGTGTACATACATTTCACTTGAAATATATAAAATTGTTTTAACACTGAAGTCATTAGATGCATTTTTAGAAATTTTGTTTAGAATAGAAAGCACTGGTTGCTGATCAAAATGTCCAGAAGGATTTTGATTCTAGATTTATAGAGGAGCCTTCTTCAGTGGAAGTAGTCATAATTTGAACTCTGTGGTTTTTAAGTCAAAACTGCTATATCCTCCTTGGAAAGTGGACTGTAAAGTGTCATGTGTGGAAATAATCATATCTCAGGGTCATCACGTCCACAACAAAACCTCATTATTACTAATGGGACCACAATTGTATCCATTGGCCAAACATATAAATTAGGAGTAAGTACAACTTCTTCACCTCTGGTTAACTGTTCAGTTGGTCTTACCAGTTCTACTCTCTGAATTTTCTTTTGATTCTGTTTCACTACCCCTGCCTCCAAGTCTAATAATAGCATTTTCCTACATAATTTTTCAGAAATAATCTCATTTTCCCTAGCTATGGTTCCTAACCTTTTCGAATACCAAGATTCCATTTTAGCCTTGATATATCTGTGGATCTTTTATGCAATAACAACTATCTTTATATATAAAGAAAATGCATCTGACAGCTGGTTTGTATTGAATGATATACATGTTGGTGAATTTATATTCTGACAGTCATAATGATCCAAATATGTGATTGCTTCTCCTTTTCTCTACAAACATGTAATCTTAGGTGTTAATAATTTTTTTAAGTGTTATTTTCTTATATGCACTACATTCTTTGCCAGTAGTTTTTGCTCAGTATGTTCAGACACCTTGACCCATAGGGTATTTTATTACTTTAAATTACTTGTCCAAGTCTCTTCCAGAGCCATGCTGACTCTCCTGCCTTCTTCCTCCTCTCCAGGCTTGTAGCTTCTTCTTGTTTCTAGTGTCTTGAAATTTTACAGTGATGTGCCTTGATTTAGGTTTATTTTAGTTGATTGTACTGGGCACTACTTGGGCCCTTTTAATCTGGAAACTCTTTTAGATCCTTTAAAGATAATACACTATCTTCTCCTGTGGAGAGAGATGGTCAGTTGCCCAGATATGCAGATTTGGGAATATCTGGCAACTTGTTTCTTAAATAGACTTTTAATCAGTCTTATTTTTAGCTTTTTCCTTTCCCTCTTTTCCAGAGGAGGTCCTAATTTCTCTGGATTTTGATGAAAGGTAGGGAGAAGACAGAGATGCCATAAATTAAGTTGCTTCTCCACCCTGTCCATTGCATTCTTAGTTTTTAGCTCTCTCTGACCTGATCAGTCACTTTTGAATTTCTTCTTTATACCTTCCAGTATTCATCTCTCATCCCTTGGTCCTTTTAATGATTCCCCTTCCCTTTAAAATCCTTATACTGTAATTATAGTAGGGTATCAGGAGGGAATGAAGTTAAATATGCGTCTAGCCTTCAGCAGATGGCTTTATTTTCCATTCATACCTAAAATAGAGACTTTGTGATGACATGAACTTCTGAGATTCAGTTTACTAGCTTACCTACTACATCTTTTCCATCTTTATTCCAAATGTGTTTTTTTAATAAGCTTTATTGAGGTCAGATTTAATTATTTTCTGAACTTCGTTTCCTGTTGCTTTTAATCAGAATCTGTGATAACTTTTTATCCTCTTATCTTTTAGTAGATAGCATAATACTTGGCCCACTGTAAAAGTTCTTGTATTTTTTAACTTTTCTTTAGACATTCCCTTTACCTCTTGCTCAAAATTAGAGAATGCTGTCATCCATGGGTACTATTTGCTTACCTTGAGAATGTTTCAAAATGCACGGAGGTGTATTTGATGGTGATCATGTTTGGAGCATGCTCTTGGCACATAATGAACAGAGACCAGAGATGCTAAAAGCCCCTCAATGCATGGAGTAGTCCTGAACAATAAATCCTTGTCCGACTCAGAATGTCAATAATCACCCTGGAGAAACATTGCTACAAGTTTTAAAGGCAGCTTGGCTCTACCTTGAGATTAGTACTTGCTCATAACCCTCTCATATGGTGTCTGTTTTCATTCCTTCCCTCTTAACAGTGGGGCTAGAAGCATGGAAGATTCCTTCTTGGTCCTCATTGCTGCATCCTGACTACTGCCTTATCTTCCTAAAAAAATAAAACAAAAATAAACAAAAAAATCTCACTGTGCTTGAATTTCATGCCGTCATTGTTATTACAAAGGGAAGCACTCTCACTTATCCTTCAGAATTTTCACCTGTGACAATCAGCTCATGATTGATAACCTATATAATTATATTATAAATAAAATAAGATTATTTCTCAATATATATGCAACAAGCTGTTTTTTGTCTAATTTATTGATAAACTTAACAGGTAGATTGATTTTTGGATAGTGAGTATATTTTTTCTAACTTACCTTTTCTCTAATTAAAAGCCATCCCTTTTTTTTTTTTTAATAATTAACACACAGTATACTATTAGTTCTGGGTGTACAATATAATGATTCAACAGTTCTGTACATGCTCAGTTCTCAACACAATAAGTGGCTCAGATGATTAAGTGTCTGCCTTTGGCTTGGGTCAGGATCCCAGGGTTCTGGAATCAAGCCCCATGTCTGGCTCCTAGCTCGGCAGGGAGCCTGCTTCTCCCTCTCCCTCTCCCTCTCCCTCTGCCTCTCCTGTGCTCATGTTCTCTCTCTCTCTCTCTCTCTGTCTCAAATGAATAAATAAAATGTTTAAAAAAAAAAAAATCCCTTTCACCTATGTCACACCACCTCCCACCTCCCACCTCCCTCCCTTCTGGTAACCACCAGTTCTCTGTTTTTAAGAGTCTGTGCCTTGGTTTGTCTCTTTTTTTCTTTATTTGTTTTTTTTCTTAAATTCCACACATGAGTGAAATCATATGTTATTTGTCTTTCTCTGACTTATGTCATTTGGCATTATACCCTTTAGATCCGTCTATGTTGTTGCAAATGGCAAGATTTCATTCTTTCTTATGGCTGAGTAATCTATTTGTGTGTGTGTGTGTGTGTGTGTGTACCACATGTTCTTTATCTTTTCATCTATAGGTAGAGACTTGGGTTGCTTCCATAACTTGGCTATTGTAAATAATGCTGCAATAAATATAAGGGTGCACATATCTTTTTGAATTAATATTTTCATTTTCTTTGGGTAAATAGCCAGTAATGGGATTACTGGATCTTATGGTACTTGTATTTTTAAGCTTTTGAGGACCCTCTATACTGGTTTCCACAGTGGTTGCACCAGCTTGTTTTCCTATTGACAGTGCACGAGGATTCCTTTTTCTCCACATCCTTGCCAATACTTGTTTCTTGTGTTGATTTTAACCATTCTGATGGATGTGAGAGGATATCTCATTATGACTTCAGTTTGTATTTCCCTGATGATGCGTGATGTTGAGCATCTTTTCATGTGTCTGTTGGATATATGTTTGTCTTCTTTGGAAAAATATGTATTGATGTCATTTGCTCATTTTTAAAGGATTATTTGTTATTGTTGTTCTGTTTTGATTTTGATTTTTGTGTTGAGTTGTGTAAGTTCTTTATGTATTTTAGATATTAACCCCTTGTCAGATACATTATTTGCAAATATCTTCTTCCATTAGTTGGATTGTATTTTTGTTGTTGTTGATGGTTTCCTTTGCTGTGCAAAAGCTTTTTATTTTCATGTAGTTCCAATAGTTGAATTTTGCTTTTGTTTCCCTCGCCCAAAGGAGACATATCTCGAAAAATGTTTCTGCAGCTGATGTCTAAGAGATTATTGTCTGCGTCATCTTCTAGGAATTTTATGGTTTGGGGAATCACATTTAGGTCTTTAATCCATTTTGAGGGTGTTTTGTGTATGGTGTAAGAAAGGGATCCGGTTTCATTCTTTTGCATGTAGCTATTGAGTTTTACAAACACCATTTGTTGAAGAGACTGTCTTTTTCCCATTGCATATTCTCTCCTCCTTTGTTGATTAATGGACCATAGAATCGTGGGTTTATTTCTGGACTCTCTATTCTGTTCCACTGATCTTTGTGTCTGTTGTTGTGCCACTACCGTACTGTTCCGCTTATTACAAAAAAAAACCACTTTCTTTTTTAAGGTTTTATTTATTTATTCATGAGAGACAGAGAGCGAGCGAGCGAGAGAGAGAGAGAGGCAGAGGGAGAAGCAGGCTCCCCAAGGAGCAGGGAGCCCAACGCGGAACTCGATCACAGGACCCCGGGATCATGACCTGAGCTGAAGGCAGACACTTAACCATCTGAGCCACCCAGGCGCCCCCCAAAAAGCCAACACTTTTGAAATGCCTTTTGCTGACTCTAGTGTACCATTTTGTAAGGGTTATTTCTTTAAAATGCAAATGTAATAATGACAACATGGTACCTGTTATTAGGATGTGATTAATTATAATTCTATGTGAGATGTATAGCTGTATGTATTATACACTTCATATCAAATTTTATATCAAATCCATTTTTAATGGATTGTCTTGTAAAAGTGTATCTAATGCCAGAATATTGACTACTTCATGTGTTTGTGTGTATTCTGAGATTTAGTGTGTGATATTTAATACATTGTTTTCTTTACCTATGTTTTACATGAAGCAGTGACTTGGATTATTTAGTGTTACCAATGATTCTTTCTGGTTTTTAGGTTGTGGAAAATGCCCTTAAAGTGAACCCGGTATTAGGTGCACAAATGTTTCAACCGATTCTACCCTGTGTTTTCAGAGGTATTATAGAAGGAGAGGTAAGATTTCCTTAAGCTTCTAAGGATAGTAATGGACTCTAGGGTTCTACTTTTAATTATTTTCCTTCTTCATTGGAAAATTATTTCTTCTTTGTTGTTAGATATTAAAAGCTTTTCTTATTATTGGGTTGTTTTGAAGTAAATTAAGTAATTTTCAGGGTAGTTATATAGCTTGGCCTTTTCTTTCTCCGGAAACTATAGCTTCTTCTTTTTTTTTTTTTTTTTAATAATCTCTCACTTACATGCATGTATATTCATTCAGAAAGATTGGAAGCAGAGTAATGGGAAAGAATAGTGCTGGTTGTAGTACATATTGAATATATGAAAAATACCGGTTATTTTCTAAGTCAGTCTCTTTAAGTGAATCCACGTAACCATGTATTGTACGAGTATTTACAGTAATATAAATAAATAAGCCGTTTGTAAATATTCTTTCTGTGTTCCTCTGTCTTTAAAATCCACATTATATGTATATTACCTTGTATGACATATATTTAGAAAGTTACTTATAACTCAGGTAATATTGGCAGTATATCCTAAAGTGATTTTGAAGGAGAATATTATTTTATTTTTATTTATTTATTTATTTATTTTTAAAGATTTTATTTATTTAGTTGACAGAGAGCACAAGCAGGCAGAGCGGCAGGCAGAGGGAGAAGGAGAAGCAGGCTCTCCGATGAGCAGGGAGCCCGATGCGGGTCTCGATCCCAGGACCCTGGGATCATGACCTGAGCCGAAGGCAGCCACTTAACCGACTGAGCCACCCAGGCGCCCCGGAGAATATTATTTTATATCCCTGTTGACTGTTATCATGTCTATGATTGTTCATAGTCATGTTTATACTCACACCTTGATATAATTTTATGTGTGCTGTATTTTGATTGTACAGAGGTATCCTGTCGTGATGTCAACATACCTTGGAGTTATGGGTCGAGTCCTGCTACAAAACACTAGTTTTTTTTCTTCACTTCTTAATGAGATGGCACATAAATTTAATCAGGAGGTAAGAATCAATTTACTTAAATTGAAGAAAGTCTTTTCAAATAAGGATTGAAAATAATTGGGGTAAATAATTTAAAACTCTTGTATTTAAAATTTTGTATTTTAAAACTTTAATAACTTACATTTTACCCATGATTTTGAAGAAGAAAGAAAAAAGAATCTCTGAATGGCAATTGAAATTTACATTTGTTCTCTTTCATAATAGCCAGTTTTATTCTGCTTAATTGTAGGATGGAATTTTGTTTCGTTTATGGTTGCAATTTTTTGTTTACTCACACTTAAAAGGAAACAAATACTTTACATATAATTATTTACAATCTTTGTTCCATTCCTTTATTGAGCTTGTTCTTAGTGTCATGTGATGAGTTTCCATCATAATTATTATGGGAAGTGACTTTCTCAGCAAAGGCTTATTTAAAAAAATACTATAACTAAAACCAACCACCAGGGTAAGTATAGGATAGGTTCTTGAGTGAGATGTTACTTGAGACTATATACATTATATTAAAATATGGTTTTTATGTATTAAGTCCTTAATCTTTTAAGATTTGTAAGATGTGGAAAGTTGAAAGTATTTGATGTCTTTAGAATGGAGGCAATTTGTAAAATCTTTTGGTTTGTGAAACAAAACTGTTTCCACTTTAAGGAAATCTAGAATAAGAATGTACATAGTTTTTTTAGAATTAGATTTTGATATAATCTAATTAGAAATCCTAGCCTTTGTTTAGATGAATAGATAGGTAAGGTTTTTCATTACCTTTATTAAATTTAACTGCGATGGGCTAATGTTAAAGTTAAGTGGTTTATTCAGTTGAGTTCAAAATTTGTTGAGGGGCACCTGGGTGGCTCAGTTGTTGGGCGTCTGCCTTCGGCTCAGGTCATGATCCCAGGGTCGCGGGATTGAACCCCACATCGGGCTCTCTGCTCGGCCGGGAGCCTGCTTCTTCCTCTCCCACTCCCCCTGCTTGTGTTCCCTCTCCCGCTGTGTCTCTCTCTGTCAAATAAATAAAATAAAAATCTTTAAAAAAAAATTTGTTGAGTGATTTTAATAACAGTATATTTAACAACAATATAAATGTCATGTATTAAATTCTCACAACAACCCATTGAGATAATAGTATTTTAATTTCCATCTCACATATGAGAAATCTGAGGCTTATAGAGATTTACTGACTTGCTCAATTTCACACAGCTAGTAAATGATGGCGTTGCTTTATATACTCTGGCAACCTAACTTCGGAGCCTGATAACTCAGTGACCACACTGTGCTACCTCCTGTCCGTCCTGGAACAGGCACTTTACACTATACACCGGAGACACTTGTTTTGACAACCTTAGAGTAACCTTCAGGGAAAAGAGTACTTGAATGGGCAATTTCACAATAATTGTATGAGTGTTATGTCAGAAATATGTTCAGTATGCTGTGGGAAGAGAAAAGGTATCTACTATGTTACATTTTTTCCAGGTTTTTTTTTTGTGTGTGTGTGATAAAATACATAAAACATAAAATTTACCCTCCACAATTTTTAAGTGTATGGGTCAGTGCTTTTAAATATATTCATAATGTACAATCATCAGCACCATGCATAGGCCGCCTCGACTGGGCTTAATTTCATATTAAAGAGAAATAATGAACCGTGGCTACTGCTGGTACTGTTAGAACCCATTGGCAGTGTGAAAGATTGAGGAAAGAGCTGTTATCATTGGTTCAGACTTATTTCCGATCCTGTCTTTAGAGCACGGGCTTTTCATGGAACAACACCTCTTACCTTTTTTCATTTTTCATTACGAAGAGGACATTTTTTTTCCCTCAGAGAATTTGACAAAACATGTCAAGTCATCATATTTGAGTGTAGAGATGAGGGAGATGAAAGTGAATAAAATAGTATTCTGGTTCAAATGGCTACTTCTGACTGTGAGCACAGTTCTGAAGAACATCAAAAATATATGCAAGAATTAAATAGGGCTAGGCAAATGAGTTCCAGTAAATCTAGAGAGCTTTGAAGGAAGCAGGGATGTTGGAGAAAGATTTCTCTTTTCAACACTTGAAAACAGTATGAGATAGTAGAGTAAGTCAAGTTAAATTAAGAGTGATTTTCTATCTTTGGGAGAGGAGCTGGACTCATTGCAGCAGTCACCGTTAGAAAGGTTTGTCCTCTAAGCATTTGTTATTCGGAGTGTTTGAGAGTTGCTTGTTTATATTGAATGAATAATGAAAACTTTTTAGACTGATCACCTAATTGAGAGCTTAGAGCCTTGGGGTATTGAAGAATCATGGTTTGTTGTAGGGAAATTTACTAGAAAATCAAAGTATTTGTAGGCCCTTTTTTTCCCTTTTTATCCTGCGGGGTAGCCTCTCTTCAGGTATGAACAACTGTTGTGGAACTCAGGGTAGGGGAGAGGGCTTTTCCAATGAGGGTGTCTCACCATTCAGGATCTAGATTTTCATTTAAATCATCTGAGTTTATGTGGGAGTGGGAAAGGGGATCTACAAGGTTCTAGTTGTTCTTATACAGATTCTCAGTCAGTTTTCCTGTTTTGGAGCTCTGTGCCTCACGTCTGCCTTCTTTGTGGTCTGGGGATTGCAGGGTTCTGAGAACCAAAGCTGCATATCTTAGATTGTCATTCCCCTGGCAGGCAGCTTGGTTTCAGGCTTTTCTCTTCTGCCCAGTCACTTAACATTCTTTTGTCCACCTGCCATCTTCCAAACACTGTTGCCATCTTTACCCAGTGTAGTTTCTCTTCTTTATAGACCCTATGGGATTATTCCTTTGCTTTTTATATTTCTTTACTTTCATTGTAGTGGGCTTTCAGGGGGGTACAGCAAATGCATATTTTCAGTACTAAGATTGTTTTCATAATGTCTATATGCTTCCAGGGTAAATAACTTAATTATAAAGATGTAATAAAAATGTAGCTGAGTAATTTAGGTAATATTACTGGTTTATCTTTGTACAAAACATTTGTTCCATTTGTCCTGTTTAGAATTTTCAGACTTTACTGAACGTTTACTTCAGAGCAACCATGTTGAGTTTTCTAATTATATACATAGGGTTTTATCACTTCCTTGTTGCAAACCTCCTCAGTTCTGAGATTTCTTTTAGATCGAGGAGTAAGTCTAACCTCTCTAATGTAGGTTTGCCTACAAACACCTACTATAATCTGGTTCTTGACTCCTTTAGCCGCTTCTGGAGCTCATTGATCAGGCATTCACCACACAGAACATTTTTCAGTTTCTTGAGAGCACCTGTCTTCCTCTTGCTCCAGAGGCCTTGCATACAGGCTTTTCATTCCCTGTCCCACAAACACTCCCTACCAATCTCTCACCTTCTTTAACTTGATTCCTCATCTTGTTCTATTTTACCTTAAAGCTCAACTCCTCTGGGTAACTTTGCCTTAGTCTCCCAAGTTTTAGTTAGGTCTTTCTAGGTGTTCTTGTGGTATTGGGAACTGTGTATTTATCATCAGGGCCAGGTTTGGGTGAGACAAGTGAGTTGCTGAGAATGAGCACCTCCTTACATTTTGTACCTTACACACCTTTTTTTGTTTTATCCTTGTTCTGGCTCTGTTCATGTGCTCCCCAGGGTCAGCAGACTACGTATGGCCTATGGGCCGGATCCAGTCTACTGCTTGTTTTTTCAAGTCTGTGAATAAAGAAGGGTTATTATGTTTCTTATTGGTTGAAAAAATAATAGGATTTCCTGATACATGAAAGTTATCCGAAGTTTTGTACTGGGACACATCCGTGTCCATTTTTTACATGTTGTTTATGACTGGTGTTGGAAGTTGAATAGTTGCATCTGAGAACATATGGCACACAAAGCCTTAAATATCTACTTAACTGTCCCTTTACAGAAAAGGCTTGCTGATCCCTGTGTTCTGATTGCTTGTTTAATTAAAGTCCCCACAAATTCACTGTTCTGTGATGTTATTAAGTATTTTTATAATGAAAGAAATAAATAAGTTATAAATAAAAATAGACAATAGAGATACCTGTCTATGCTGTTGAATCTTTATTCTAACCAGGTACGTTATTGTAGCTTTAGTTGAATATATTACATTTTAATGATAACTTGATATTTGCTTTTATAATGGATAATGGTTTGTTTTTAAAATCTTGCTTACTAGATAATAATTGCAGTAAGTCTGGAGAACATCTCTACCATTTGTTTCCAAATTATATGTGAATTGAAGACTCGTGGTATATATCAGAAGTTACTGAATGGTAGTGTTTCATGGTTCCCTTAGTGTGTTTGTAATATTTTCACAGTGCTCATAGGCCAAAAGAAATAAAAATATCTAATAGTTCCTTCTATTAAGTGGTTGGGTCCAAACAGTTTAGTACGTATTTTTGTCCTAATAACTTAGTAGTTATTGAAAAATAATACACAAAAGTCTAAAGAAAGAATATCTTTATTTCATTCTTAAATATCTACAAATACTCACTAATGGAATATATGTGCCTATTGAGCACCACTCAGATTCTCTTGACTTCAGAATCAGTTTGGACTCCTCCACCTTCACTTTTTGTTTTACCTGGATTTCTGGGTAGTACTTTGTAAAGATAGGAAGTCATCACAAGGAACATTTTTTGCAGTATCTGACCAATATTTCTGTTTCTCTGAGTAATTGTAAATATTCTGTGAGTTCATTGTGGCATCTTAGGATGCAGCACACAGTTTGCAGAGCTCAGATATAAATAACTGTCTTGAACTAATTAGTGTTCCCTTGACTGTTTGTTTTTTAAGATTGACTGACTTATTTATTTTATATAGAGAGAGTGCATGTGGGAGCAGGGCGAGGGGCAGAGGAAGAGGGAGAGAAGCAGACTCCCCACTGAGTGTGAAGCCCGTCCTGTTGTGGAGCTCAATCCCATGACCCTGAGATCATGACCTGAGCAGAAATCAAGAGTGGGGTGCTTAACCAGCTGAGCTACCCAGGCACCTGTCCTTGACTGTTTATTACTTTTAAAAAATGTTGAAGTATTTCTTGGAAAATATGTAGATATGTAGAGGCATAAAAGTAGAAGAGTGTGGGAACTTAAGATTGATTTTAAGTTACCAAAATCCATGAGGTAGAGATTTTAATATTAAATGCTTTTTTTGAAAGGTGCTGTAAGTGGAGAAGTGTTTATGAGGCAAACCCTGAAATTCACAATAGACTTTCAGTCCGTATGATCAGTACAGTTGGTTGTGTTTTACTTTCTAGATTCTGAGTGTATCAGTCAAGGTTCTCCAGAAAAAATAGAATCTATTGGGTGTGTGTGCATGTACACACATCACATGCCCCTATACACAAAGACGAGAAAGAAAGAGAATAGGAGAGATACGAGAATGGTGGGGAGGGAGGGAGTGATTTTAAGGAATTGGCACAAATTATTATGGGACTGGCAAGTTCTAATTTTTTCGCGAAGCCTGGAAACTTAAACGGGATTTCTGTGTTACAGTCTTGAGGCAGGATTTCTTCTTTTCTGGGAAACCTTAATTTTTGGTCATAAGGCAAAATTCACCTGATTGAAGCCCAACCCACATTACCTAGGGTAATCTCTTTTCTTTAAAGTCAGCTCTTGGTACATTTAATCATATCGACAAAATGCTTTCACAGCAACATCTAGACTAGTATTTGACCATAAAACTGGACACCTTAGCCTAGCTAAGTTGGTAAGTACAATTAACCAGCACACTTTCTACTTCCGTATTATGATTGATTTATTTTTCTTTTTTTTATAAAGATTTTATTTATTTATTAGAGAGTGTGAGTGAGAGTGTGCAAGCAGAGGAGGAGGGAGAAGCAGACTTCCCGCTAAGCAGGGAGCCCAATGTGGGGCTCAGTCTCAGGACCCTGAGATCATGACCTGAGCTGAAGGCAGACACTTAACTGACTGAGCCACCCAGGCACCCCTTATGTTCATTTTTTTTTTAATATAGTATATAATGTCCTAGAAACTGACTTATTTTTTTTTTTGAAATTATGTACGTTGAGGTTGTAACCTGCCCTTTCCTCTGAAAGTAGCAACAAATCAGTCCAGCAAATTACACCTTAACATTTAACTATCTAATCATCCAATGAAATAACTGTAACCTAAGTACAAGTTGACAGTTTTGAAAAATGCATGTACTTTTTTAGTGTACCCGGAAGAATGTATTGGATTGGTGATTTATTAAATGAAATTACTAAAATCACTCATCGGCTGTATACTGGTTTTGAACAGTCTCTAGCTCTCAGAATAAACTGGCTCCCAAGATTAATTAGAGTCATTTTCTGGTTTTGCTCAAATTATTCCTTTCCAGCTCAAGGCTTGCCCCAATTTCTTGTATTTCAATTTTGTGGTTTGTTGGAATTGAAATTTAACCATGCCTTACGAGCCTCTAGACTTTAACAGTACTTATCCACAAGTAAATAGCATTTCATATATTTTGAGATGCCTCTTGCTCTTTTTTCAGATGGACCAGCTTTTGGGAAATATGATTGAAATGTGGGTTGATCGCATGGACAACATTACACAGCCTGAAAGAAGAAAACTTTCAGCTTTGGCTTTGCTTTCTCTTCTGCCATCTGATAATAGGTGAGGAAATGTTTTTTAAGAATTTGTTTCTTTAAAGCATCAAAATATTATCACCGTTTTTGGCCATTGGTATTGCTGCATGTTGCTGGGCAGTATTTTATGTATATGTGTGCTCATTTTGTTAGTAGATAATGCTGGGGCGGGTGTTGGTCTGGATCTAAAAAGATGTGAATGGGGGTGGTAGGCACTGCAGTTCAACTTGGTCATATTCATTTAATAATTTAATTTTTGTCTGAATTCTCATTTTTTTGTAATCAGATTTTACTAGACTTATTTTAGGTCCTTTTAAAATATAAGATGAATATGTAATAATATGTCAGTAGCACTTCATAAAAAGTGTCCTCCTAGTAATTCAAAAGAATGTTACATAATTCATTAGTTTTTTATTTTGGATTATCTCCAAAAAAACTTGCAAGTACTTTTTTCTCGTTACATCATTGAAGTCATTTTATTATAGTTTACAAACTTTGTTAAAATTCTCATTTCCATAAAGCAAATGCAAAATGCTTCACTTTGGACGTTATATGCAAATATCTATTTTCTTTATTTTTACCCCTGTCTTTGGGAGTTTTGCATTATCTGCTTTTTTTTTTTTTTTTTTTTTGGTACTTTTAAGTTTAAAGGCGTAAAAGCAGGTCTTAAGACTTGATTTTGTAGAAGAATAAACTAGATCATTTTGTCTTAGGGAACTTTCAAACACATCAATCCTAATGATAAATTAGTGAAATAAATCCAGTTAGCTTTAGAAATCCTTGTTAAAAATGTAGGTATTATTTCTAATATATTAGTTTGAATTAAACACATAGGTAATTGTTTTGTCCTAACACCATAATAATAGATACTGATTACTGAGCACGTACTGTATGTCTTTATATTTTGGTACATGTTTGACATTTATATCTCATTCAGTTTTTAATATAGTCCTGAGGTATAGGCATGATTATTTTCTTTTTATAGAGCAAAGAAATAACTTAAAAATGTAAACTAACTTGCCTAGTGTGTGGCATGTGGCATGACATAGGGCATATTTTGACCTGGGGCAACTGGATGCCAGGGTTTGCTCTTTTTTAACTACCAGGTGGTGCCCTTTCTGAGGTGGACATGCACAAGATCAATATATTTTTCCTAACTGTGAAATCGAGTGGCATTTTATTAATTTTTGAAAACCAAATTTTAGCTACCTGTATTTTATTGTTGTTTCCTTTTCTTCATGGATAAATAGTGACTTGAGATTATTCAGGCCTTTAAAATGGAAGTGTTAAAAAATGTGGTCTTTGGCAGTAGCCAGCACTATGTAAACATTTGTGGAATAAATTAATGAATGGAAAAAAAATATTAAGGTTAGAAAAGCACCTTAGGATTTTCTTTAATGTAAAGTACTGAAATTACTGAGGGTAAATTAGAAATGACACACATTAGTTGAAGAAGGATATCTAATTGTATCTAAAGCATATTTGTTTTACATTTTTTATGAGACAACTGTTTTGCTTTAATATTTAATTTTATATAAGTGTGTTGTGGTCAAAAAATACGTTTTATATATAAGTGGCCAAAATAGTCGGCTCTTCTAAGGAAAATACAATGTTTCTTTAAGTCAAGAATAGACGGGAGTGAGGGGGGGGCTCATGTCATTCTGTCTAAATTGAGGGGCAGAACTTTAATAAGACTTGGAGTTCTCTTAAATATTAAGATTTCAGATTGCAAAGTTGGGAGAAGATAGTTGTGATTGGAAGATCGGATCTTGTTTTTAAAATGAAGTAAGTATTGGAAAATCTTTTGGGCACTAATGAATTCATGTCATTTTAAGGGTACCAAGAAAGTCTTGAATAATGTAGTAATAGAATTTTAAAGAATAATTATTTAACTTTATAGTCGGATTAGTGACTAAAGAAACATTGATAGATACAGAAAATGTAATGATCTGCAAAACAAACAAAAAACTTAATTGCTGTGTAAGTTTGCCACATTGTCACTGGCCCATGATAGAACTTACGGAGATTTATATTCACATTGTCTAGTGGAAGGTAATGTGGAAATTTAGGTCAGCAGTTTTATTGTTTTCTTTTATTACTTTTCCTCTACTTAAACTACGTAGTTTTTGGAGTTTGGGAAAATTTTCCCCTTTCTGCGTCCCCAGTAATAATACCTGGTTAATCTCCCATGTAATAGTAATTTTCTGTTCCTGCATTTCTTTTAGACATTGCAGTGTAACATTTTCCTTGCCTGAAAAAAAAGCAGATCTAGTGAATAATGTTGATGGTGATTTTTTTAATCATCTAAATTGGGAAATATTATTTTCTTCTTTTATTATAACAGATTTTCAAGCAAAAATACACCATTCCAAAGCATGGTTTCTCAACTATAGTACTAGTGATATTTTGGGCCAGATGATTATTTGGGGTTTTGGTTGTTCTTTTTTTTAAGATTTATTGGGGAGAGAGGGAGAGAATCCTCAAGCAGACTCCCTGCTGAGCAGGAAGCCCCACGTGGGGTTTGATCCCAGGACCCAGAGATCATGACCTGAGCTGGAGTTAAGAGTTGGACACTCAACCGACTGAGCCACCCAGGCGCCTCTTTTTTGGTTTTTCTTTTTTTAGAGGTGAGGCAGGGGGAGGAGCAGAGGGAGAGAGAGAATCTTACCAGGCTCCATGCCCAGTGTGGAGGGAGCCCGACAAGGGGCTCGATCTCAGGACCCTGAGATCATCTTCGCCGATATCAGGAGTCAGACACTTACCTGCCTGAGCCACCCAGATGCCCCCAGATGATTATTTGTTTTGGAGAACTATCTTGCACCATGTAGGATACTTGGCAGCACCTCTGCCCTCTGGCCTGTGGATGCCAGTAGAACTTCTTACCTCCAGTTTAGAATCACTGCTGTAAAGAATGACCATTTGAGAAACTATTAAACTCTCCTTTACCCTAATCCTCTAGTTTTGTTCAGAAATTTGATAAAAACTCTAGACTTCAGAACCACTCTGAAATCCCAGTGCCACTGGTGACTTGCTGATGACGATGACCATGTTCTTGTGTTACTGTGCCTAAGTTTCCTTGTTTTTAAAATGTACAGATGTTCTGATGAGACCGTTGTAAATATTACATGAGTTTACGTATGTAAGGTCAGACTGACTGGATAGATGAGGTTAGCTGTCTTGCTTTCATCCCTTTCTTCCTTTCTCACCTACTCATCCATTTACTGCAGTGCAGAGTTCTGAGAGCATAAGTCACTATGTGTATATGCACTCATTTTTAATTCAGTACATTTTCAGGTATATTGAGTATCTGTACACCTATTCATTAATTTATTTTTAAAATGTGTGTTAACCGCATATGTTCTAAGGAATGTTATTTTGTGCTTGATGTTTTACAGTATTCTGAATTATCACCAACTTAAGGATTCATGATTTTGTTGATATCTGCTATGCACATTCTTGTTAATATCTTCTTGCTCACCTTCTTAACATAGTGCAGTCTTTTTTTTTTTTTTAACTTGTTCAGTGCTGCAACTGTATTTTGTCCTTTTTGTTTTACTCTTCCTCTCTTTAGCTGGAATAATTCCAGGTTTGAATATTCTCCCTTTCTTAGGATCTGTATTTAAACACAGAGGGAAGAATAGTTTCTTCAACTGATTTTTATATGACCATAACATTATTTATATATACATCTTGTAATGTTTTCCTCCAAAGGCATAGGTTAAACAAAACTGTGATTTGGAGATGAGAATGAGAATAATTAAACTTTACTTTGACTCTCTTCTCTGAAATACCAGTTCATCCTCCAACTTCAAAGACACAATTTTATAATGCAGTTCTAAGAATTTCAGATGTGAATAAGTATTCTTAGAGAGCAAGTGTTGTGAGAATTTTGGCTTTGACTTTTATTTTTAAATTTAAGGATGCCACTGATGGGGCATATTTAACATAAGCTAGTTGAATAATGAAAAAAGAGACTGGCAAAGCAGTATGGTTTTTAGATATGACAGCTTGCATTCCGGGAGAAATTGCCTTTATAATAAACTCCTGGAGTATCAGAATTACCAAACCTGCTTGGATTGGACACTTGGTACCTCTCCATAATTCTGGTTTATCTCAAAATTAGCATATGTAATATCCCCACTTGGAAATTTATTATTATTTAAGAAATTTCTAAGATAAATCATTTTACAACATTTAGAATGTTAGACTAGTCCTATCAAGATAACAGGTTCCAAAGAGTAGTGTTTTGGTATAGTTTCAACATAGTTAAATAAAAGGCAGTTTATAATTTTTAAAATGTAGACATGTTGTTTTACCTGAGTTATGCTTGGTTTAAACTGACCATTTTTAAATGAATATTTAACATGATAGACTTTTGGGGTACCTGGCTGGCTCAGTCAGAAGAGCATGTGACTGTTGATCTCAGGGTCGTGAGTTTGAGCCCCACGTTGGATGTAGAGATTACTTAAAAAATTAAAAAAACAAAAAACAAAAAAAAACATGATAGGCTTTCATTTTTATCCCTTAAAATAGGAAGCATTTTTTACCTCTAGGTCATGTATTCTTTAGTATTTTATAATATTTTCTTTTATCTGTAAATATTTGACCACAGATTTTAGTAGCTTTTCTATAGTAAAAATTGGTTCTCAATTTTTTTAGTCTTTCACAAGAAAAATGCCTTAGAAACATCGTGTGTGGTAACAGCTTTATTGAGATGTAATTCATAGACCATACATTTCATCCACATAAAGTGTACAACTCAGTAGTATATAGAATATTCGCAGTCATGCAGCCATCACCACAGTTGATTTTAGAGCATTTTCATCACTTCCGGAAGGAAGCATGTACTCTTTTGTAGTCTTCATCACTCACCATACCCCCGCCCCCAGCTCAAGGCATTAGAGCAAGGGCTTGAGAGTAGTAAGGGTGGAGAGTAGAACATGCATCCTCGAAAGACGGGGCCTTCAAGGTAGAGTCAGTTTTATTCTCTGTGATGAATTGTACGATTATTGGTTTCCATCTAACAAT